AGGAGCTTAATTAAAACATTGTGTACGACTTTCCTCACCATATATGAAAATATAGTTGATAACAGACTTAACGGCAATTTTTGAAAACATGAATTTCGACTGCCTAAAAAATATGAGGAGAAAATTAGATAAGATACTTAACCATATGTGAGGTACTTAAATTATTTCCAATACTATTAAATTTCAGGAATGCTATATATACACCGGGTGTATGGAAAATGGCGGATTAACTCTTCAATACATTATGTACGAAGGTTTCCGGAATGAAAAAAAAATGAAAAAATTATTTCGGATGTAGATTAAAAAAAACATAAATATTTGGAAATAATGCATGTACCTAATGCGTGAATACCTTCTACATACTTTCTGAGCATAAGCTAAGAACCTTAGTAATCGAGTCCATTGGGCGGCTTGCTACGGTCATGTTTCCTCGACGTTTCATGATCTCTAGAGTACAAAAAAAGTGGTATCCCGCTTCTGTCTATCTCTGTGTCTATAGTTGTCTGTCTGTTTGTCTGTATGTCGTCTGTGTCGATTTTTGTTAGACAGATAATTTCCGAAACTACCGCACCGATTGGTGTCAAATTTTTTATGTACAGGGCGATTCAGCTTAAATGACCCATTTATCTCTTTCTTATAGGCACCCCAACATATATTTTCCGCTTACGTCTTGTTTCAAGATTTAATTTACAAAATGCCGTTAATCCAAGTGTTCTTTTCTTTTGTGAAAAGTCAATGTAAATGTCATATAAACACAAGACATTTTGAAACATTAGTTATTATTTTCCAATAAAACATAATAAAGAACAAGATTCTTGATGTGTTCATTCTGCTCACAAGCTTCAATTTTGTTTATAAAAAAAAAACATCTTACACGTGCTAACATTTCAGAACCAAAAAACTGACGTACGTGCAATTCGTTCTTGCAACTTAGCAATGTTTTCGAACGGCGTTACAGATACTGTTACTTTTTGGTATCCCCATTAAAAATAGTACAATGATGCGAAGTGATTAATCACACCGAAGGCTGTGACACATAGGTCGCTACCCTGCTAACATCTCACTACCACCTAGTACAATGATGTTCAATCGGGACTACGCACTTCTACGTTTACTTACAAGATAATTTCCTCTTATACACCTTTCAAGTCGTTTAAAAATTTTGTGAGTACTTACGATGTCTTCGTCCTGGATATTGCTGTGCGTATATACTCGTATTTACAGCTAATCTAGTGGTTTTACTTCGTGTATGAAAAAAATACCTCCGCAATTTTGAAACTTGAATAAATGTTGCTAATTAAACTGACAGTGACAGAGCAATACATTCTTAGATTTATGGTATGATTGAAATTAAAGTTTGAATCAAAAAGTATGCGTATAGTGTATGCTGAGTTCCCTATTAAAAAGAGGCAATTGGGTCATTTAAGCTGAATCAGCGTCTATATTAGGAATGTTATGTAGGTGGTAAAACGCTAACCAAAATTGGGCTAATCAAAGAATTCTAGTTTAAAATGATTTACATATGTTATGCAATAAGATATTCCTACACTTGTGATATTCGAATCCGCCTTGAGTTTTTTCCTTCAATGCCTAAATTTTGCAAAAAGTTTCCAAAATATAGTAATAAAAAAAATAATAGCTGTGTCAATTTATATTATTGATTAATAACTAAATCAGGAACGGCTTACTCCATTTTCCCGAGCATTTGGACATACAGTGCTGTTATTATTAGTATTAAACTACCTATCCAAAGTGTTCTTTAAAAAATGTTGATGTTATCACAAAATTGTGTAAAGGAAAAACTCATTTGATACATACGCATAACAAGCTTCTTCACATTTACTTTAACACTGCATACGTATCTTTATTTTAACTTATAGGCGTTCTAATAAAAAAAAATCGGAAAATCAAAATTTGTAGCTGGATATGATTTATTGTACTTCAGGCCCGAAAGAAGTGCTACTAATTTTTTTTCATCACAACGTTAATCATTGTGCATTGTTATTAATAAAACAGTTATTTTTCGAAGTAAATAAATAAAAAAAAACATTTAATAAGACAATCATAAATTGTAAATGAAAACAAAACCAACGAAAAGAAAAATCCGTGAAACCATAACCAACTAAACACTAGAGAAGATTTAGAAAATTCCTACCTAAAGCATTTAAGCAATAATTGTCATTTGTTCTAGCCAACATATATACTGAATTCGCTATTTCTTAGAGACGTTCAAATAAATCAGTCCACAAAATTTTAGAGGTAAATCGTAATCTCCGTGAAGAAGTGTTGTATGTACCCTGTAATAGAGGTAGAGATGATAGATATGAAGCCTCTCACTTCTGTAATTTTATTTATTGTGCTGGGACACACTCCCAACCGGAGCATTTCTTGTCTGATGTTCAGCCACAAGATTTAAGATTTCCTCCTCTAACTGTGGAGTACTTGTGGTCCTAGTACGACCTCGACCATGAAACTGAATTCCAATAAAAAGCAAGCGTTCAGTCGCCTAATTGCATTTATGTACTATAGGACTCATCATATTTTGTACATTCTAGATAGGATTTATTAAGCAAAATTTTGTGGTGACGTCATAAATTTTTAGGGGGGATGAGCAAATACATTTTGATCAAAAACTTACCATGCTTATGATAACTTTAAAACATTTTCAAGATTTCAAAGCGTTCGGTTTTGTAGTTCCTGAGTAAATCATTAAAATAAATGTACGCATTCATTAATTTTTTGAGTCACCCGGTATATGCAAATTCAAAAAATATGAATGGAATGATAAATTACAAGTACAGACTCATCATACTTTGTATATTCTAGATAGGATTTATTCGGCAAACTTTTGAGCTGACGTCATCAGTTTTTTGTAGAAGATAACCAAATATATTTTGATTAAAAATGTATTATGCTCTTTATAACCTTAAAACATTTGCAAGATTTCAAAACATTCGGTTCTGGAGTTCCTGAGTAAATCAGTAAAATCAATTTAAGCATTCATTAATTTTTTTGAGTCACCCTGTATATGCAAATCCAAAAAATATGAATGGAGTGATATATCACAAGCACAGACTCATCATATTTTGTACAGTTTCGATAGGATTTATTTGGCAAACTTTTGAGCTGACGTCATCAAGTTTTTGGAGGGGATAACCAAATATATTTTGAGTAAAGATTTATGATGCTCTTTATAGCCTTAAAACATCTGCAAAATTTCAAAACATTCGGATTAGCAGATTCAAAATTAAATTGCAAAATGTTGTTTTATAATTTTGATTTTTTTTCCAAAAATCTGGACGTTTCGGGTAAAAACTCAATTCGGAGTCGTAAAAATTAAAAAAGAGTGCGTCTTTGGGTTGGGTGATGGGACCTTTAGATCAATACCTACAAAAAATAACCAGATTTATGATGCATTATCTGGGTAACAATTTGACGAGACAGCGGTATGACCACAACTAGATGTTTTTCCTAACATTTGTCACGTTTGTTTTTACCATAAAAGTCCATGTCGGCATACTTAAAAATTGTATTTTCCAAGTCTAGTCGGTTGGTTTTGGTTGTGGTGGTTGTTCAACAGTTTTGTTATATTTTTCACTGTTCCTGTTTGTAGCCGAATTTGGTTCTGTGTCATTTCGTGGATTTTTGTCATCATTCATTTTAAATTTAAATTTGGATTAACATTGAGATAAGTCTAAATTAAAAATAACTTTGAATTCGTATCAATTTTACAATATTAAAAATTGAAAAACGTTTGCAATATAAATATTTTTATACTTATACTATGTACAGTTTAGGAAATATCGTTGTACGATACAAAATTTTATTGACAATAACGAGGCGGACAGTAGTACAATGGTAAGAAATATTTATGGCTCACACCAGTCCCCACGAATTTGTTGGAGAACATTTAGCAGGTAATTCTACGCACAGGGTCGGACTTCCGCGCCTTTAGAAATTTAAGGTCAGCGGATTACCGCCACGCGACAAATTTAAGTAGTAAATATCTCTGGCTATTGTACTACTATTCGTCTCGTTATTGTCAATACAATTTTATAGGGTACAACGATATTTCCTAAACTATAGAAAAGTTGTTGCCCGCAGCTCCATTTGCGCGGAATTCGCAATTAGGACTCATCATTTTTCATACATGATCGTTTTCCGGGTTGGAACCGTGTAAATTGAGTTTTTGGGCTCAACGTTTCGCACACTTTCGTAAATGGCATCTTCAGGAGCAGGGTTAAGAATAAGGCAAAAGAGCACGGTAACTCAGTATGTCAACCATACCAGAAGCGAAACTTTTTTGAGAAATTACACGGTTCCAACTCGGAAAACGATCATGTATTGATTCCGACCGTGAAAGCCTCAGAAATTATCATTTTTCATCTCGGTCACTCCTCCCTCCCCAGTGAACCCGTCTGACTTAAAAACTCACGGGATTTCTGCACAAAGTTTCATACCCTATTTTGTCCCCGTAGGGGCGGAATTTCCAGAAATATTTTCTTAATGGGTGCTTATGATACAGGGTCATTATAAAATATTGTAGTCAACTCACCTATGAAAAACAAATGAAATTTTTCTCGTGCCGCTAATCACCAAAATGATTTGAACTGTTTTGAAATGTCACGAACGTCCAAACAAATCTGTCAGATGTGTCAAAAATTGAAATGCCCGGTTCGCGGTTTAATTTCATTTTAAATAGACACGAAAAGACGCCAGGCCAGAGCATTAAGGGTTGCAGTGTTATCGAGCATTTGTGAACGCCACTGCAATACATTTCAGTTTCAAAAATTGTAAATTGTCAGAAAAACGTTTAAGGGCTTTGTCATGAATTACACCTTGGAAAGTCGATTGGAGTTGAACAGAATAAATCATCTGGTCTGTTTTGCAAAGAAGCAATAATTTTTCAAATAATGAAATCCAAAAAGTGAGGTTAAGTTTGTCGAAACCAATGAACACGGCAATTATTTAAAAAATTACATTTTTATAGGTACCCTGAAGGTAAAAATTGTGAAAAATCACGTAATGGACAATGGCAGAGCAAGTCTTATCACAGTTAACGAACACTATGAGTACCTAATGAGTTTTTGCAGTAAATAATTTTGCCAAAGTTGTGATCCCGCGAAAGTTCTGTTTGTAAATTGTAAGGAATCGTCAAAATATTGGTGCAGACATGGTTTGTGACCGGTGCTTTTCTCTTGAAAAAACACAACTGAAATCCTTGATCTTCATCCCTACAATAGGTGAAAATTGCTATGTCCAAACATTACCTTCAGCTTTGCAGTTTCTAGATATCTGAAACATGCCAGATCTGCATAACAGGAATGTCGAAGAGGTTCTACCCAAAACACGCCCACATGGCCATCCTAATATCAAGATTTTTCAAAATTTCTATAAGAAAAAAGATGAAAAAAACCAATAAAATTTCAGTAGCATAGTGTTAAGAGTTCTGTAGCTGATTATGAGATCTCTTGAAACAACAGAATGTTTAATAAAGATTTTTAACTTTCCTAATAGTAAAATTACAATTATTACTAAACAGTAAGTTGAAGTAAGTTTTAAATTAAGAGAATGCAACTAACACCGAAAGAAAAATGAAAGTTACTGAAAATAAAAAACTTTATTGCAGTACCTACATACACTTTCTACATCTAATTTTGTTTATTGATCACATTCATTTACTTGAAAAAGTATCAGGCCTATGAATCGTCGTCTGGAAACAGCTAACCACACACCAACCTTCATTGCGTGTGATGGTGTTTCTTCAAAAGCGTGAGTATTTTCTATACACCAAATTCTGAAGTCCTGTCAGTTGACATAATAGCCTAACAGATGAAACCAGGCTTCATCAGAAAAGAACGACAAATCGAGAATCCCGTTATCGTCCATATCAGCTTGAAACCAACTACACTACCCAACGCGGCAAGGAAAATCAGCTGGTTGCAGCTCCTGAACCAACAAAATCTTGTATGGATGCATATGTAACTTCTCTTTTACGATTTTCTGACATGGGCTGTATAGTACTCCGGACAGTAAAGATTTTTGACAAAGCTTTATTCGGACTTTGTTCCATTCTCATCCTTAAATCTTCAACAACGTCTTCACTAACTTGAGGTCTCCCCGTCGGTTTTCACTTAGAAATGCTACCAGTGTCGTTAAATCTGGCCATAGTTCGCCATATAGCGTCTTCAAAGATTCTTCATCAATGACAACAGAACATTTCACTAGATACTCGTTTTTAGACGCCTCCACAGAGTACACTCCATCCCCATCCTCATTTAACACCCCATTACGGTAATAGGCATGATGATTGCGCCAAAGAACTAAAAAAATCATTTGTAACACTGACCATAGTTATTCCTCTCTGTTCATTACCTGAGATTATTCCACAATGATCTGTAGTTTTGATAAAAACTGTTTTTTGAGACACTTATTAAAGTTCTAACAAAGGGGAAGACAGCAAAAATGAAAACAAGACAAGTCAATTAACGCACAAAGTGAGGGAAAACGTACCAGTACAAACGAAAAAATTATTGACATCTGACAGAATTTGATGAAGCGTTGAAACAGTGCAGCCGCTAATGTCAACTAATGTGGCTCTAAAAATAAAAATTCCAATATTAGTGTAATCCTTTCCACAAAACTGAAAAAGGCGGCACAAAATGTCACCAAAATCATGGCCTTCTTCGACTACAATATTTTATAATGACCCTGTACAAAAGGAACCTACTGTCCAAATTTCATGTTTGTAGCTTTGTAGCTTTAGTAGTTGCGTTGATGAATCAGTCAGTCTGTCAGTTAAGACAAACACTTTTATATATTAAGATTGATTCATCAAATCATCATAATTTTATGCATGTTTGTTAATAAAAAGTATCTCTCTACAAAAATATGTGATTACAAAACTTTGGTTTTTTTTACAAAAATTTTTTTAAGGGCGTTGAACAGTAAGTTGCATCGGGGCGCCTGGTCCCTTAGAGCCGGCCCTGTTAAGAAGGATATGAATCACCCAATGTAGGAAAAATATTTTGATGGATTTCTGTCGCAGTTTTCCCTTCCAAAGAGAAGTATTGAATCACACTACGAATTACAATTTTCTCCTTTTTTTAAATCAAAATCACTTGACACGCAAGAATAAAACTAATGTCTAGTAAATAACGAATTACTGACAGAATGACTTGACATTGTAGAAATGTAATTTATGAGAAGTCTGCTTGAAGTCTCCATGTACAATTACTGCTTTTTCTTCTTGCAGGCTCCAAGAGGATGCAAATCCAGTTATCCATCAAACCAGCTTCATAAGAACCTTCCAAACTGAACTTCATAGGTACGGTGCAACAGGGAGATACACAAATAATATCAGCTGATGATATTTTTTGATATCTAAGCACCATCCCGATTAAACTATCTTTCAACTAAAAACTACCGCATCGAAATCAGTTCATCCAAGTTAAAAATAGCTTAAGTCTTTACCATCAAACATAGTTAAGAACCATTCTGATCGAACCAGATTTTAAACAAAAAAGCCGCATTGAATTAGGTCCATCTGCTTGGAACCTACTTTGCAATAGACATACAGAGAGAAAGACAAAAGGGGTCAAAGTTATAACACTCCTCTTTTTCAGTCGGGGGTTAATAAACAGTGTTTTATTTTATTCATTGACATGCCAGTGGTATTGAAATGACAATATGTAAATATATATATTTTATTGTTAACAACCAACTGCAACAAATGAGAAAGAAGAATTAAAACAAAAATAAAGTCGTGTCAAGCACTAAACAATTTACAGCAAATTATTCACGGCAAGCGTCCGCCCTTTGTATAATGCTGCCGTGGACAAGTCAGAGCTTATTTTATTTGATGTTGCCGTTGTCACAGCAGCTTTTATTTTGTTAACCAATTCTGCTTCGGTGTCAACTACTGTAGTGTACATGATGTATTTTAATTGCCCTCAGAAGATGAAATCCAAAGGGGTTAGGTTGGGAGACCGTGAGGGGCGCGTCATAGCACCTCCTCTCCTATCCCATCGATTTTTATGGTTTACATGAAACCATTCTCTAACTTCAGCAGAAAAATTAACTGAGGCTCCATCAAGTTAAAACCACTGAAGATTTCTTATGGCTTACAAAGGAAGTTCATCCAACATTTGTAGCAAAGGCCCAGTCAAAAAATTAAAAAAAATATTACCATCTACACGTGGGGGAGAAAGTATGGATCAGTGATTGAGGTGCTTATTATATCAGCCCAGATATCCAGGCAAAACAATTGTCACATGAGTTACCAAAGGGTTTACAATGGCCCAATAATAATTAGGTATGAGGGACGTTAAATTTCCTATTTCAAGTGAAAGTCGCTCCAGCGCAACGGAGACTTGCGATATCACAAATCCAACTTGAAATTGGCCTGTTACACTGTTACTGGTATTATTTATAAGTATGTGTGTTAATGTAGAGAGGTTATCACAAATAACACTTCGCAATTTGTTTTTTCCTATTGAAATAAGCTTCAACCATTTTTTTAAGTCTCACTAAATGTCACTATTCCATAGCATTAAATTACTTATAATCTTCAGTGAAGGAGAGCAGGTTCGCAATGTTTTTTCCTCAACAGTGTAAGCTAATTTAGACGACTTTCAAATTGCGTTCATATTTATGTATACGAAATAAGAATTTTCAAGACACTAAATCGGCCAGTCCTTATAAATTTATAGGTTATGTTAACGTAGCTCTTTAGTTTTGTTCAATGAGTATTTCTACATAAAAATAATAATTAATAAACATTTATTCCATAACGAGTATAAAAGTGGTAACTGCGCTCGTTTGCTTGATAAATGTTTTACACTTACCTTCACTAAAGAATATGAGGAACTGGTTACGTGGAATACGAATAAAATTTAGAATCTTAAATACCATAAACCATAAATATTGCATATTGCATATTTGGGAAGATCAGCAGACTGTGCAATACTTCACAATTGGCTCAGACAAAAAAAAGAACAAAAATTTCGTTTACATTCCATTGCAGTAAACTTATAATGATATTTGATTTTTTCTTATTATACCGCCCTTCTTGTATTCTTATGTATGTCATTTATGTTTAGTGAATGGATAATATGTATTTTTTTTTTAATTTACTTGCTTCAGTTTGATGTTAGGATACGTAGTATTTATATTGTAGTGACGACGAGTAGCAGATTAAATTATGTAAAAGAATCATATAACAGTAATAACCGTAGGTAATGTTAATGCTGATGTTAATAACTTAATAGTGACATAGAATGTGATTTAGTGCCACTTCCAAAAACATTTATTTTATTAATACATACTTGGAAACTAACAAAGAGGAAACTGTTGTTTTTTTTAATTTTGTATGATAAATATGTGTTAGACTGTTGGATAAGTATTCTTGTTGGAGTTACGTATCGTCAGCCCCTTGATCTTTTATTTAGGTTGAAAAATGCACTGCAGCAAAATATTTGTAAGCAACATTGTTTAAATGCTTACCTATTTTATGCAATGAAACTGGTTAAATCTAGGTTAAAGAAAGCCGTGTATACATTTTTACTAACTTATCTAAAAATCAGTGGAAACTGATGAGTTTTATTGAATTTCGTCATACTAGTATGTCTATAATAGTGTTGGGTATCTTACCACATAGCAAATTGGAGCTGTTTGTAGGACATCTGGTCCTGGAATTTTAACTTCTAAATTTGCATTTTTGTTTTGTACTGAAGGAATCGAATAACCAATTTTGAACGTCCAAATTTATGTTGTGAAATTTTTCAAGTACTAATGTTACTAAATAGAAATGATTAAAAACACTCCCCTACAACATAAGACTTTTAATAATCATCAGAAATTGAGAATATACGTTTCAATCTATTTTTTCTGCTAATTACGAATCTGTTTTCATATTTTTCTAGCACGAAAAGTTTTTCAAAATATTTATAATCAGAAAATCATACAAATATAAGGTATTTACACGAAATATAAATTTAGTTAATCAGTTATCAGTTAACCATAAATATTAAAAAATACACTAAAATTTCATGTAATTCGTTGATATGCTATCAAGAACGCATAATTAGGTTTAATTTTTCCGGTTACACTTACTCAAGAATTAACTGGTAGATGCCCTACCGAGCTTCTTTTAAATTAGAAAGGTAATATTTAACAAAATACAGAAATGGGATAGAGGAAGTATTAATTAGTAAATATTATGAAATAAAGTAATTAATTTTTAAAACGTAAATAAACATCCAATAAACTATATTATATTGTATAACAAGTATAAAGTTGCATTTACACGTAAGTGTTGATGTTGTTGGTGCGAGACGAAGTCGAGTGCTATATCTATACGAGCGTGTAAGAGCACTTTCGCATGTGTTGTAGACCTATACCCTTTACGTTAAACAAAAAACATAGAAAAAATTTAATACCGTTAACAATTTTTTTTTTTTTTAGTGAATTATGTAGACTTTATTTGCTACTTGTATAACAATTAAAGTTTAACACAACGTTATTATGTGTACAGAGGATGCATGTAAAGTACACGGAAGTCCATGTGTCATTTGGAATTTGACATTTTCGAACAAGCAAAAATATGTACTAGTTTCGGTAATAAGCACAGAAAAAATAAATTACAGGACTTTGCACGGATGCTTTGCCTATATTCTTATGCCTTTTAAGTATTACTCGTAATAAGACGCTTTAAATATTGAAGACTGCAAATCAGAATATGTGTTTTTTTCCATGTAACTGACTAATAATAATTTGTTTAATGCTCTCTGTGATTCAATTGTAAAAGCAAAACATGAGTTTTATCAAATAGAAATAAAAGCAGATATAAAAAGGAGTGAAATTTCATCAAAGTGTGAGTAAGTGAAAACGAAAATTTTCAATGCTAGGATTCTTGACAAAAAAATGTAGAGATAGATACCATCATAGGTGAAAACCAGTTTTGTTAAATATGAATTAATATATATAAACTGAATTGTTGTTCATATATTA